AAATACAGAAAAAATATATTGGGAAAGGTGTAAAACTATCCAAAGACACATTACAGATCAATGAACATAATCCATCCAAATCCAAAGGACATGATAATAAATGCAAAGACAATGGAAAAAATTACAATTGGTCCTTGCATAAAAGTCTTCCCATCGGGGAGAAACTGGAGAAAAGCATAGAGAATGGAAAGAGCTTCTGCGAAAGGAAGACTTTTACTGCTCAGGAAAGGAACCACACAGGGGAGAAGCCATACAAATGCATGGAGTGTGGAAAGAGCTTCAGCCAATCCAGTGGCCTCGTTATTCATAAAAGGATCCACACAGGGGAGAAGCCATTTAAATGCATGGAGTGTGGAAAACACTTCACCCAAAGTGGTCATCTTAATTCTCATAAAAGGATCCATGCAGGGGAAAAGCCCTATAAATGCACAGAGTGTGGAAAGACCTTTACTTATAGCAGTTACCTTAATTGCCATAAAAGGATTCATAAAGGGGAGAAGCCATATAAGTGCATCGAATGCGGAATGACTTTTACTCGGAGCAGTCAACTTACTCGCCATGAAAAAATCCACACTGGAGACAAGCCATATAAATGCATGGTGTGTGGAAAGACCTTTATTCAAAACAGCCAATTAACTTCCCATAACTGGATCCATACAGGGGAGAAGCCATACAAATGTTTGGAATGTGGAAAGTGCTTCAGTCAAAGTAGTTCCTTCACTTCCCATAAAAGGATCCACACGGGGGAGAAACCCTATAAATGCACAGAGTGTGGAAAGGAGTTTCGTGATAATACATCTCTTGTGAGACATAAAACGATCCACACCAGGGAGAAACCATATAAATGCATGGAGTGTGGAAAGGGCTTCAGCCAACAGAGTAAACTTACATCCCATCAAAGGATCCACACAGGGGAGAAGCCATTTAAATGCATGGAGTGTGGAAAAAGCTTCAGACAACCCAGAACCCTCATTATTCATAAAAGGATCCACACAGGGGAGAAACCCTATAAATGTAAGGCGTGTGGAAAGGGCTTTCGTGATAATGCATCCCTTGTGAGGCATAAAAGGATCCACACCAGGGAGAAACCATACAAGTGCATGGAGTGTGGAAAGGGATTCAGCCAACACAGTCATCTTACCTCCCACAAAAGGATCCATTACAGGGGAGAAGCCATACAAATGCATGGATTGTGGAAAGGGCTTCAGGAGGAGCAATAACCTAACCTCTCATACCAGGGTCCATTTGGGTGAGGATCCATGTACATTCTACATTTAGTGGGCTAAATCTATCCATTTTTTTTATTCATGTATAGGAGGAAAGGAAAGATTTCCTTGAGTCTGACAACTGGCAGCTCCAGAGAGATGAATTTACCAATGAAAAGAAAAAGAATGGTTGTGTGCCATTTTAATTATGAATTGTAGATTTTTGAAGGTAGCCAATGCTGTTGCACATCAAAAAGAGAAAAATCTTGTTTTTTAAAGTTTATATTTATTCCACCTGAGAGCCAATTCCAAGCAATTGACTACTTGGGATTCTGAGCTATGTGGCTTTATGAAGTTTTTTTTTAAGAAGTGAATTTCTTGCTCCCTAATTGTTTGCTCTTCCTGCAAGATCATAGTTCTGGGACGGATGTGAATACATTTCACAAATGCTGCTTCCCCAAGCAAAAAAGGAGCTGCATTTCCATGATGCATCTTTTGAAGGCAAAACTTTATTAAAGTTTCTTCCATTGTAGCAGACATACAGGTAGAAATTCAACATATTCACAGTCAGCTTAAAGACTTTACATTTTCCTTCTATAGCCTAATCTTACAAATGCTCCTTCCGCCATCTTCCTCATTCCTTAATATATTCACCATTTATCAGAGTATGCTAAACTTCTCTGCCCTTACAAGCATGTCCAAAAAATAAAGTCCAAGGCATCCATTTTCCATTTCAAATCCATTTATTAGGAACACATTAAATTGGCAAGGACTTGGTGTAATTCCGACTCTAAACCAGATCTGGAATTATACCCAATGAAAGCAAAAGTGTGAAACTTTCCCCCTGAGTCACAGTTTGAAATGATGCAGCAGGGAGATTCTGGAGTCTGAATCGATATTATAATTAAAGGGGATTCAAATTCCATCAATGCTCACAGTGTGAGGTAGAATATTATATTGAATTGCCCTACTGTATAATAGTAATATATTAAAAGTAGTAAGTGATTTTGTGCTTTAAATTCCCCCCCCCCTCTCTCCCACTCTCCCTGTCTCTTTTGTACAAAGTTAGGGATAGAAAGAAGAATAAGAATGAAAGTGATTCCAGTGTGCTAAAGTTACAAATGATCAACCAAGAAGGAAGACTTTTGGAAATCAGTGGGGATCTACATAACATAACATGACATTAAGAACAACTACTTCAGAAAACTACTTCAGTTTCTCCTGACCAAACAAACAGAAATGGAACATGGAATGTGAATATAATACAAATAATCAGACTTATATCCACGGTGTAGAACTGAGACCTGAGTGAACCAGTATGAAGATTCAGTCAAAGTCCTCATGAGAGAATTGTCATTTGCAGATGAATGTACAGTGTGTGGGAACAGCTGAAAGGATCAAGAATTCCTGTCTCAACAAAAGGAGCCAAAATGACAAGAAACCTCCAAAATGCACAATGCCGAAGACTTTCAGACATTAGGGCCATATTTTGCTTTGTATGATGTGTTGAGGCTAAGAAAAAACATTTCATTTAAGTAAAACTAAACATCAATTTGTGGTTACTTTTCTGACATATTTTCTTTATCTTCAGTTGCATTTACAGTTATCCAAAAATTTGGTAGGATTTGGGTGGGAGAGCATATTTCAGGTTTCAGAGATTCGTGCTGGTTTGAAGCTGTTGACAGGCAGTCCTTGCTCAATGACCATTCATTCAGTGACCTCTTGGACTTGCAACAGACTGAGCAAAGGGATTTATGACCAGTGCCCACAGTTAGGGCCTTGCAGTGCCCTTGCAGTGACATGACTGTGATCTCAGCTATTGGCATCTGGTTTGTACTTACAATGGATTCCCCCCCCCGCCCCTCCCCATCGTGTTTGCCATTTGCTATCTTCTCTTCTGGCTTCCTCAGAAAATGAACAGCAAAGACAGCAGGGAAGGTCACAAGCCACTGCCATAGTAGAGGGTCTGGAAGACGCTGTTGCTATGCCCATGTTAGGTTGCAGTTAATCTTGGAACCTTGAATTAAATTGATTAAATTGTCCACAATAATTGCAAAAAGAGATTATCATTGCAAGCACGTATTGGAAAAATATGGGAAATTTCTCCTTGACCACCAGATGGTGCTGTAGGCTGCTTTGCTTGAGTCTATTGTGGGGGGGAATGAACCCCAGAGGAATTTATTGTTTCCTTGCTGGAAGAAAAACCAATCAATCGAATACAACACTCCAAAGGTTTGCTTGCAGTGTTATATGTTTTTTTTAATTGTTTAATAAAGATAGGGGAACATGAAGAAATTTTAAGGTTTTGAGCAGAAAGAGAAATTGTTCTTTTTGAAAATGTTGCTAGGATAAGCCTTCTTTGCTTTGAAGATGGTCTGTCAGTAATGAATTATGACCCCAAATAAAACGGCCAGAGTAGTTGTAAAAATAGCTGGAGAGGCTTCTCTTATTGCCTCTGAGCTGGAAAAATGCAAAGCCTTTCAGCTGGAATGAGCAGGGCAAAGTTAGTTTTCCTTTCTAGAAATGGCAGCAAGATTTCTGAAACTTTCTCATTGCATTTGGAAAGGGTTTGTAATTGGATGAATACATGGATGGATGAGAGATACTTGGCCCTTCCCTTTGTTTTACAGATTGGTTCTTCCTGAGTTAGGAGTTGTAATTTGAGACACAGCACTTCTTTCACTGAAGAGAAAAAGGGGGGTGAATTTGCTTCCTGCAACTATGATGTGTCATTATCAGGTTGTAAATTGGCTGGAGAGGGTCTCTTTTATGGCTTTGTCCCCCTTCCAGATAAGCAGAGCAGAAACAGCTTTCATTTCCGTTTAAGAATACAAACAAGATTTCTCAAACTTTCCTACTGCGTTTGTAAAGGGTTTTAAGACAGAGGTTTGATTTTCCTTTGAGAGCTGGGAAATTTCTGGCTCTCCTTGTTATGCAAATGGAGACTGAGATAGCAGGAAGACAAATTGAGTAGGGGGGATTACTGGTTTTCAACTCTGTGGTTAGAAAGTTCTCTCTGTTTCTAGCATGTGGGGGAATTCCAACCCCTCCCACCATCCAAACAGCATGTAAAGAGTTTTTATGCTCACACACAGAGAGAGAGAGACGATGAGAAATGCAGGCTTAGATTAACATTGCATATTCACTCCTGGCTTCAATATTACTTTGCTTTATCACAAATCCAAATTAACTGTCTTTATACTGATGGGCTTCAGGACTTCAAATTAATCATCTTTTTACTGTTCTGTATTCTGTACAGTGATGGATTTGTAAGCTGTACAGATGCAGATAGATAAACTCAACAAAACATCCATAACAAAGTACATTTATTGGTTCATCAGGTATCCTCATAACTCACATTTATGATGAAGTTCTTATTTAATGACCATTCCTTTGTATATCTGCCTTATAGGTAAAAAGATGATTATCTTCTATCCTTTTTCTCTCATCTTGTGGCAATAGAGGTAGAACAGTTACCACGAGTCCGTGAGTTCAGCCAAGTGTGAGGAAAACTCCTACCCATCGAGGGTCAATTTAGTGACCAATCAGGATTACAGATGTGGTCACGTGATATGGACTACATTTCCCAGGATACCTTAACTACATTTACCATGATGCATTCCCTTAAGGGGACAGCTCACAATTGCTACCTAACTATCCAACTCCCATTAACTCTAAACTGGACCAACTCTCTTCATACTCTACATAAATGACCTCTGTGATCATATTAAGAGCAACTGCGTTCTCTTCGCTGACGATGTAAAGCTATTCAACACCACAGACAATACTGCTACCCTTCAAAAAGACCTCGACTATGCATCAGAATGGTCAAACAAATGGCAACTTCAAATCTCAACAAATAAATGCTCTATCTTACATATAGGCAAAAAAAAATCAGAAAATAAAATACAGTCTGAATAGTCAAGACCTTGCTGATGATCCAAACTCTGTCAAGGATCTTGGAGTACTCATCTCTAATGATCTAAGTGCCACTGTAACTACATAGCCAAAAAGGCATTAAGAGTTGTTAACCTAATCTTACATAGCTTTTTCTCTGGTAATATTACACTACTAACTAGAGCATACAAAATATTTGCTAGACCAATACTTGAATACAGCTCATCAGTCTGGAACCCACATTACGTATCTGATATTAACACAGTTGAGAAAGTCCAGAAATATTTCACAAGAAGAGTTCTCCACTCCTCTACTCATTGCAGAATACCTTATGCCACCAGACTTGAAATTCTAGACCTAGAAAACCTAGAACTGCGCGGCCTTCGGTCCGATCTAAGTATAGTATATAAAATCATACATTGCAATGTACTACCTGTCAATGAATACTTCAGCTTCAACCATAACAATACAAGAGCAAACAATAGATACAAACTCAAGGTTAATCGCACCAAACTTGATTGCAGGAAATACGACTTCAGCAACAGAGTGGTCAGTGTCTGGAATACTCTACCTGACTCTGTGGTTTCTTCCCCAAAACTTTAATCTTAGACTTTCTACTATGGACCTCACCCCTTTCCTAAGAGGTGTGTAGGGGGCGTGCATAAGTGCACCAACGTGCCTACCGTTCCCGTCCTATTGTTTCTTTTATTTTTCTTATATGTATCCATGTATTCATAACTATGTTTTTACTTATACCTATTATCTTGTAAGCAATTGACAAATCAAATCAAATCAATAAATCTATTCCGACCAACCTCTTTGAGAGCAAAAGGGCTGCCTGTTAGTTTGATTTCTGCCCGCGTGGGGCAGAGTCACTTGCAGCTATTCCACTATCAAAGACCACTAACTGGAAAAGACCTTTCCATCCCAGCTGGAAAGCCAGCAAACAGTTTCTGAAGGTAGAAAGGCTGGAAAAAATGCTCTTATGGTTCAAAAATTGTATTTGCCAGCTGGTAAGCTAAGAAATGCAATGTTTTTAAAGGCTAGAAAAGCTAATGCACAGAGGGTAGGGAAACCCATGCACTTCTGCCTAGCACACTGGTTCCCCTTCTATTTGTGTGCGTGTATGAGAAATGAAAATGCTATTTTGGACTGGAGAAATGAATTCCGTTCTGTATACAGATAGGTGCTGCCTGCCCTCTTTTGCCAGGCAGATCTTTTCCTTTGTCCAACAACACCAACGGTTACTTCTGCGATGGCCAGAATTGTCATGAATTACGAACAAAATTCAAATTCTGGTAATATACGGTTCTAGGTCAAACTGGAGAATGATTTGGGGGAATCCAGGAGGTGAGTCCCTCAGAAAA